GGTTTAACGTAAAGTCAAAGCATGGTACAGTTTAGAATAGACATGTTCAAACATCTGTGTGTGTGTTTAAACATATTGGTTTAAACATCTTGGCGTTTAAACAGTTTAAACCTGGTTTAAGCAGTTTAAACATTCGGTTTCGGGGGCCCGTGTTTGTTTAAACATTCCGGCGTTTAAACAGTAAATGTTTAAACAGTTTAAACAGGACCCTCTGCCCAACCCTGGAGCACAGGCAGTGCACGACATGCTCTGTTTGCTACGTTGGACAGCAGTTGCAGATGTTTGTTTGCTCGTTTGTTCCTGCCGTTGAATGAAGAGAAGCCATCTCCAGTCTCTCGCTAGATTTCCGGCTGCGCATCCAGTCTAGAAGCTGGATCCTGGAAAAGCAGGAGATGAAAACTTAGAAAGTCCGGTTGCTGAGGTTATGATGATCACCGGAGACAACAAGGGCACAGCCGCGGCTTGATTCATTGATGACCTTCCAAACCTTAAACCTACCGATGCGGAGATCTTAGGAAGCCATCGCTCGCAAGCTTGGAATTCTGGCTGGAACAGACACCGTAGTCTGCGGCTTAACCTTGGCCACCGCCTTCCAGTGCACAACCTTTGCATGCACATTGCGAGGTCCACAAGTCTTTCACAGGCAACATGGATGAGCAGCAGATGTTTCCCTGGTTTACCTTCTTAGCAACCTCACGAAGCGCTCAACCACCTTCAATAATTGCAGTGGGTGGTTGAAACTGGTAGCTATGCTGGGGTAGCATGTCGCGGGAGGATCCTCGTGTGTCCAGGAAAAGATTTCGAGAATTTGTCCGACAGCGACAAGGTGAAGGCTCAAGTTGCTCGCTTGGGCAGAACATTCACAAAGGATAGCTACGATGTGATGTGCAGGGAGCCCGAGCTGTCTATGCCTGCAGGTCTTGCAACACATCATGGCACAGAAAGATGTCGAAGGAGCTGTATTTTCCAGGACAGAACCGAAGCACAAGCAGCTGATACCAGGGCCGCAACATCCAGTTTCTGTTGTTTCTGCCCGACCGACTTGGGAGTTGTTTGAAGCAGTCTGTGCTATGATGAGTAGCTGCCAGCCGCCTTCTGGTTCAGCCAAGGATCGTGAAGCCTCATGGCCGCAACAGCCAGTTCGAAGGGTGCAACATCCTAGGGCCGTAGAAATGCGGGCAATGGCCGCGATTGTTCCCTACATGCGAGCTGCTGGCAGCTAGCTTCCGCATTCCTTGTACGAAAATGGTTTGTGCCTGAGACATCAACGTCTTTTGCCTGAGCCCCAGGATCCTGAAGCAACTCGGTGAGATCGTCGCGATGACCGGAGATGGGGTCAACGATGCCCCAGCCCTTAAGCAGGCGGACATCGGCATCGCGCGCCTTGACCGGGCACCGGATGCATAATATTTAATGTTACAGAGCAGGAAGTGCCGAATTCATCGTCGAGCCTAATGAAGTGCAAGTTGTGCTGCGAGAAGCCTTTGTGCACGGAGACTTGCATCCGTAAGTTGCAGCAAAATCAGCTCAGGATGGGTATGACAGGGACAGAAGCACTGTGGCAGCATGAATCTGTGCCAGTGAATTGAGCATCTGCACAGATGTCTTTGGGATCTGAAGCTGGTGAGGTTGCAAAAGAGTCAGCAGACATGGTACAGCCCTGAGCTATATGTGCTTTGCGCACTCCTTGGGTAGAACTCATGTGCAGCCTTCATAAGAGCATTGATGCGAGACAAGTCTTGACCAGCAAGAATTTGAGAGGTCAGGCATGTGACTCTTTCATCCGATGCGTCTGGTGCATTTCCTGCATGTTACCCCAGAGTACACAGAAACGCGCACAAAGTATTGAGGTTCTTGCGGATGACAACTTCTCGACGATTGTGGCTGCAGTGGAAGAGGGAAGATCCATCTACAATAATATGAAGGACCGTCACTGCCCATTCCCAAACAAACGCCATCCCGTTGCAGCTCTAGATCTTCCATGAAACCGGCCGCGTTGGGCAGACCTTGAGCTGCGAGGCGTTCATCCGCTACTTGATCTCTTCGAATATAGGACTGTGCATGAAGTGGTTGACATTTGCCCATGTCCAGCTTGCTTCCAAGCACTACATTACATGATAGGCTACAATTGATCATGCTTCTTTGATGCGCCCGACTTGTGGACGGGATCGCAGACTGCGCGAGCTCTGGAGGAGAGGTCGCTTCCATCTTCCTTACAGCAGCCTTGGGCATCCCGGAAGGCTGGAGTTGGAGTTTGACTTCATCTTACACCTCCTCAATAAATAAAGTAAAGCCCTGCCAGATAGCCAGAATTCACCTACACGCCATAGTCATACAGCAGGTGGAAATACACCTCTTATTAGGTTTTTGAAGTTTCTTTCTTTAGCTTGATTCTGCTAGGCATGCTGTCGGTTCTCGGCATGATGGGCGGGTTCTGTTCACCAACGCGTAGCAGCCTGCCGGCCATATCGCCGGTGATCCGAAATTCCCCCGTACGGCTTCCAACCTGTAGATAAGAACCGCGTGGGTTGCAGTCAAGGCCCGAGAGAGGAGATAGGTTACCCTCAAGACCAGAGGACCTCCGCACAGAACCAACCGCACCCAGAAGCCGGAAGCAGGAAGAGTGCCAATAAGCGACGTCGTCCTCACAAGTCAAAAAGCAACAGCAGGCTTGGCTCCAGTGCAGTTGCTTTGGGCTCCCTGGCGCAGAAAGCAGCAACAGACAAGGGAACAGGGTATTAGAGGCATTCCGGGACAGGCTTCGTTTTGTTGAGGTGAACCTGGTCACCGACGGTCTTCCTGCTACTGCACTTGGCTTCAACCCCCCCGATCTCGACGTGATGTACCGACAGCCCAGGACACTGTGTAGGATGCGGGTGAGACCACGAAGACTCGACATACATTTGTCCAGCCACATCACGTTCCGTACATGCTTCCCGCTCACCGCGTTTGGCATCAGCCTTGGCGGTGGCTTCTTCGGCTCCAGCCGCAAAGTGCCTTCTTGCCGTTGGCAGGCGATCAGACGATGCGCTGATCTCTGGCTGGGCAGCTTGGAGGAGATTGCCCAGCAGTGCCCAGCAGCTAGTTGTCGAGTGTAGTCGAACAGTTGGTGAGGTGGAGCGACGATACGGATGGGAAGTGTTATCATAATCTAGTGATTAGTGAGACAGGGTTCCCTTCCATGCATGTTGTTGGCCAGCCTTCAATTTCGCTGCACCCAGGTGTTCTTTCGATACATGGTGATTGGCATCTATGCCGCCCATCTGCACTGCAGGTCACAGCACTGGATGTAAATCGTGATGCCCGCCTGTCCCAGGTCGGTCTCGCAACCGTGGGCATCTTCATTTACTGGTACTGCTTTGACGAGAGCCCCGATGGCTCCTTTCACGAATGCTGTGCATTGCCTGCGCCGGTGCATCTGACTTCATGTGCCAATACGAGGTCACACCCTGGTGAGTCTCTCTGAGCTGATGGGCTGGAGCTCGGACTTGCAAGAAGACTGTTTGTGTGCGGATTGTACGGGACACTGCAACACGAAGTGATATCACTGATATGCGGAAGGCACGCACACCTTAGGAGCCAGTGTGCTCAATGGCAAACGTTTCTACCCATGCCTTGTTTGGGACAGACGTTCCTAATCTGCAGAAAGCTTGAGAAGAAGGCGACCGGTTCAAGCACGAAGCCGCACGTCCTGTAGTCTGGCAGCTAAGGTTTCATGGTGAGCCATGCAGCTATTTCACAGCTGGCAAAGTTAAAGCATCAACGCTTTCGCTGACCGTTCTAGCAGCCGGGTGGAAGTCAGCGGGGTTTATTGGACAATAGGCTATACGGTGTGGGGGGCCATCGTCAAGCCTGCTTTGTGCAATCCTTTCAATGCTGAGTCGTGGTACAAACTCTCGCTTCGACTGCAGTGTAGTCAGGTGGCTTCGCCTGCGTGCACCCGCCCCGACCCTCCTGTTCTAACCCGCTTACCAGCTTCGTTTCCTGACATCGCTGCCAGTTGTTCGTTGCATGCGGATGTCTAGCTGCCGGTAGTCGGGCATCTTGTTGTTGCGTGTTCACGCCTTTTTTGTGGAGGGCTTCTTGATTGACAAGCAAAGCCTCAAAGCCTCGGCCGCATTCTGTGTGAGAGAACTCATGTAAGTTTGGTTGCTGGCATGAAGGCGTGTTGCTTTGATCTTTGCCTCGGGCGAAGTGGGCTTGTGCCTTTCCATGTCAGGGCATGCCAGTATGTCATGTCACTTTTCTGTCTCTTGAACCTTGCGCCGCAGACAAAGTTCAGCAACTCAGGTCATCATCGAGATGCTGAATGCCTTCAATGCGCTTTCAGAGGCCGGTGGCTTTCACATCGTCCTATTGCGTAGGGGGTGATGGTGATATATCTGATAGGTGTTCAGCATGAGCACGTTCGCCAATTTGCTTGAAACCGTTGTCGACATGACAGCTCACCGGGAGGATGGATCCCTACTGCAACTGTCTCCGTGGACAAATCCCTGGCTGGTTTTGGCCTGCTTGGGTGGCTTGGTCAGAGACATCCTATATTTCTACGTCTCCCGCTGCGGGCGCGTTGCATTTATGTCTGCCACGCATGCTACGCGCATGAGACATGTTAAATGCAATGCGACTGTACTCAAGAATGGTGCATGCCTGCTCAGTAGTACACGGGTGTGAGTAGTTGCTATGCGGTAGGCATAGTCAAACATAAACAAGCTTTCGGAGTCGAGGAAGTTTGTCAAGCCGCAAGCTTTCAAATGTATCGACGAAGATACCACAAGGTTCGCCGCACCATGTGTCATGTTCTCGTCTGGCATGGTCCCTTGTAACAGGTTCGAGACGTCAGTCAATCGTTCCACGTCTGCATGCTGCTTCACATATGCACATGTTCGAATCAATCGCAATATGATGCGGTCACCGTTTCCACCTCGATTCAGCGGTGCAGTTCCCCACCTGTGTTTGCTTGTCTGCCCGGGTACGGAAACAGGGCTTCTTATTGCTGTTTGTCTTGGCTCGAGGTACATTTTGTATTCAGTTTGGCTTCATTTGTTGATTGCACTTAAGCAGGGCACAGCTGCTATTGATCCATTCAGGCCCTCTCGGATTCACCCGTCACTCCCGAGCTCTGTACCGGAGATGGCGTCTAAGACTTAATGTTAAACAGCGTGCTCAAACCCATAGCTGCATCAGACAAATGTTGCATGCAAAAGAAATCATGCGACAACTGCTGGCAGCTTGAGGCAACTGTAGCCCATAGGCCTAGCCGGGAAGCCGCTGAACTTCTTGCCAAAACACGTCTCACACACACACATATGTGTGTGCTGTATACATATATATATAGATATATACTAGCCCCCCCTATTGACCAACCCTGGCTGCTCATTGTTTGCGTTTGTTCTCTCACATGAAATCTGCGCAGTACAGTCTCCCGGAAAAAGAAGCCTGCATGGCATGCACATGATCTCCCGCTTACATACCTATAGAAATCCTTTTAGGATACCTTATACTCGTAGAAATCGTTATACAACTCTCCCGATATAGCCTACATATACCGTATAGAATATCATCTGGAATACCCTGTAGAATACCTTATAGAAGACCGCCTTTACCCCATGTATACCTTAGATATGTCATATAGAAGCCCATACAATACCTTATGGGATACCCTTTAGAACTCCCTCCAGAATACCCTATAGAGTACGCTGAAGATAGGGATTTTTAAACATGGAAAACCATTCGGAGTCCAAGATCTGAGAAGCCCCCAGTTGAATTGTAGCTTATTGGATAAAGAACTCCTGTGAAGCAAACCCGGAACCAAGAAGAATAGCCTTATAAATACCTTACAGAATATCCTCTCTATATATACCTTAAAAAATCTACAACAGTTTCATACAAAATCACCATAATCTATGAAATTTCGATTTCCTTATGCAAGTATACCCTAGAGCCTACAGAACAGCATACCTTCTAGCATGCCTTCCCAATATATAGGCTATAGAATAGCTTTTGTACAATACCTTATGGAGTGCCCTATAGGATACCTTAGAGAATGCCGGTCGAATACCATCTGGAATACCCTGTAGCAGCTGTAGCAGAATACCTTTCAGAAGACCGCCTATAATTTACCCTTTGTATACTCTCTAGAATACCTTTTAGCATACCCCTAGGACGACATTCTTGAATACCCTAATTAATTTGTAGCTTATTGAACAAGGGGTATCTAAGAAAGACACAGTGAATCTAGGAGCGTTGCCTATAGAATACCTTGCAGAATATCCTTTCTACAAGCCTTAAAGATATTCATACAAAATACGGTAATACCTTATTGAATACCCTGCAGCCTATCTGATACGACACATCTTAAATACCTTATAGACTGCATTCCTATATATACAGGCTGTAGAATAGCGTGTATAATGTATGGAATGCCCTATCGAATACCTGACTGAATGCGCGATAGGATATAACTATATATGCTTTCTAGAATACCCAGTACATTCTAGAATACCTCATGTTTCAGATACTTCATTTCTAGCTCATATATATCTATATGGAGTTTGTTTCTATCAAACCGCCTTTCGCTGTCCTCATTTTCGGAAAACTCAGCGGCTCGATAGCACCAAGTTTCTGTAGGATGGCAGTGTCGTACCTGCGCAGGACCAAAAAAACCAAACAACCCAAACAACTAAAACACTCAAACCCAAAGCAACAAGCAACAAAAAGGCAAATATATATATATATATACGTGGCCGAGACCTTTAGGGTCTATTTGGCCATTCCCTTTCTACCCAAGTGCTCCTGTCTACAAGAACTCCTTGACCTCTTGGTAAGTCTCCATCTCCTCTGAAGAGAACTGAAGGAAGCTCGTTCCGAGTAAAAGAAGAAAAAGCTCCTCCAATCTCAACAGAAAAAAGAGGGCTCCTCTACTTCGGACATGAATTTCTTATCCCTACATGGGTACGGGAAAAGCTCCCCTGGCAGGTCCTCTACTCCAGCATTTCAAAGAAGCAAAGAGCCCGTTCCAACGTCACGAGAAAGAAGCGAGCTCCGTCTGCCTTTTAGTCGACA